TGGTCTTGGCTGATATATGGAATCAGAGGACCGCTCCACTCTACATCAGGCAAAAATGTCATCTTTCTTGCAATGTACTAGGAATTGGTGCATCCCTAATTCCAATATTCAAATCGGAATGCTGGAAAACTTCGAATTTCCAGTTACAAATAAAAGAAACCTTGATTTTCAGTAAGATTTTTCGTAATATAGCGAATCCCATGGGAGCCCATGGGATGGAATGGGATGAAAATTTTTTTTTGCTAAATCCCATGGGATGGGATGGGACGACTTGCATTATCCCACGGGACGAAAATTTCGTCCCATCCCATCCCATCCCATTAGGAGCCGTGTTCGGTAGTGACAGATGTTGATGAGTTCTTGTTGAGTTTTTGTGATTTTCAAATGCACATTGTGTTTTTTTTTCTCACTTCATGATCGGTATCATATTACATATAAAAAATGACGTTTTAATTGCCTTTTGAAATCGATTGTAGTTATCTTTAAAAGTTCTTCTTCTTCTTTATCATAAATAAAATATAATAGTTGCCTATCACAAAGTGGGAAAAAATCCAAACATACTAATTTCGAATGTAAAAAAAGAAAGAAAAAGAAGGACCGTATATAAGAAGATGGTTACCATTGACTTTTTCATTTTTTTCAAAACAATAACAGGTTACTAGCACGTACTTGAAGGTAAGAAAACTATTTGATAGAACCCAAATGAAAATTTTTGAATATGAAAGGCAGTAAAAAAAACGTTTGAGCATGTTTATTTGGATTAGAACTATCAGTTATCCTACAAGAACGCTATTGATAAAATATTCCATACTCTTTGGAGTCTTTATTAAATCAAGCTCCTGTTCATAACTAGATAAACCAATCCAAGAACAATCAATTATCATCATTCTTCATCGACCCGGCAATTGAGATAATAAATTTTTGCGTTTAATAGAAATGTGGCTAAGAGATATGAGTTCTCTAACTGTTGGATAAACGCATTTATATAATGGATCAGGTTACCTGAGTAGCTTTATAGGTGTGCTAAACCGTGACAACACATATTATTAAATGGTAAAGTTCTGTTCTCTTACATAACTACTGGAGGAGTACAACTGTATGAAAGAACACTGATCATTTGCCTCTAAGAGCAAAATGTTATTTGACCCTCTTTCCAGTGCCAAAATATAAAGCATGACTTTTCTATATTTGAGAAGATGTCGTCCATGTGAATAGGTTTTTTAAAATTTTTTCGGGTCAAACGCAAGAAAGCGCCTTTCTAGGCATGATCCTACTGCTATACTGAAGGTGAGTTTTTTGATGAAGGATTGCTTTGCGATATCAACGATTATCTGCTTCAGTAAAGCACGTATAGCAAATCTTCCGAGTGGAAATGTACTAAAAACGGAAAAACTATAGACCACTAGGATGGATGAAACCGTATCTTGAGGGGAATGGTGAGTCAAGTTGCCATGACACGCATTTGACTCTTGCTTAGGGATCTCACCAGGTAGTATACGCGATCTACTTAATGATTTCGTAATGTAGGAACCTAATATGTTTCATGTAGAAGACATGCTTTACTCAACTATAGTAACAGCCTAGTGAAAATCGAAAGTGAAATCCCTCAAGGTTGAAGCTTGAAGAGTAGCTGTTTAATTAAATTTAACTTTGACATTACTATATTTCTCATCAGTTATCTCTGTTTTATGTTACATAAACTCGTTCCTTTTTGTTGATTTCATTTCCTTTTCTTGTCGTTAGTTCATTTGATAAAAGAGAGAAAGATATCCAGTTGTACAATATCTTCTTTTCCAAACGATCATGTAATTACTGGTTCTCTCCTTCGGAAGAATATCCTATATTCTAATGGAACACATTATTTATCTGTCTTTCATATCGCGTACACATATATTCATTTCGTTTTATCTCGATTTGCTAAATTGGTTGTTATTCTGATATTAGAGTCTTGATTTTCTCGTTCCCACATTTGGTACTGAGAGAAGTACGGACAGTAGAAATACTTGTGATTTAAGATGGAATAATAGAAACTTTTTATTCCATATAGGATGGGCTAGCCTTAAAATGTTTCTGTTACATTGGACGGAATACTTTTAAAAGTGCCACGCCCGTTTCGTCCTACGGAGCCTCATACTCGTGAAATGACTTTTGAAAAGATGAAATTTATTATTAAATTTATTTGTTTGCCTAATTGTGCAAAAAAAAGATTCCTTTGAGACCGTCCCGAAAGTACTGGCAGAAATGCTTGCGTTTGGTATAGAAAGCTTAATGAAACTTTCTCTCTGTTTGCAGTGATAGTAACAACAGTGATCTATTTTTCTGTGATATTTGATCATTTTTCAAGTAAGATGATAATAATAAAATTTAGACTAGATCTATTATTTATGATATATGACGAGAAAATCAGATTATATTGTTTCCAACATGCATATATGTGGCAGGCGAGTTTGGAATAGTTTTTTTCTTAATTTTTTAACAGAATTTTCGTTGAGATCTGACCTTAGAAATTTTTACATTGATAATTATTCTTGGATCTTTTTACAATGAGTTTTTATATCATTCAATTCTCTCTATATTTTTCAAACTATGGGGACATTGAATTTATCTGAGAGAAATAAGGGTGTGGGTGTGGTTGAGTTAAAGATACAGACACATCCCCACACCCAAACCCTCATCGTTTCAAAAGTTAAAGCGATCTTGTAAACTTCGTGATCTTAGAACTTGACTTTAATAGGCTTATTCTACACTGACATATCATAACGAATGTATATAAACGATAGCGTAAGATCTGATTGATATGAAAGTTCACAAAGAACGCAAGAAATAGAGGTATTGAAAGAGAAACACTGCAATGTGGGTGAAAAAAGGACTGATTTTGGTGTTTTAGTTGAAAGTTATGATTTTGAATAGCATTTGTGAGGTTTGTCCGTACAAACAAAAACTCCGCAGTGATATCTATCATCTGAAAACTAAATTGGTTGATTAAGTTTGATAAATAGTGAAATTCTATGAATTTATTTTCCTGAAGGACTCTTGGAACGCCTTGTACACTCCGCATGCGAAAATAATAATATACTACTGAGATGAAAGTGAATTACAATTGGCAAGCAAATAATACAGGACTTCATTTTTCTTTAAATATTTGTTTTTGTAGATAAAGGATGAATAGAAGTTTAATTTTCATTCAATTTGCATTATTAATAATGGCAACATTAAGTTTTCCTAACTACAATTTTTCCAGCACGGATAACTTGGAACCAACAGACAATTTTAATGCGATCAAATTATCAAGAAAAAAAAGAGACTCTTGTGCTACACAAGCTGCAATTGATGTTCTAGAGAAGACTATTAACGTCGGATTGAGCGTGGGAAATATTGCCGGTGCCTCAGCTTTAGCTTCATTTACCGGATCACTTTTTAGTTTTCACTCTCCAACAACTTGTGATCTAGATGCGAAAATGGATCAGCTTTTGGTGAAGCTGAACAAAATCATAGACAAAGTAGACAATATAGGTACTGTAGTTGAATGTGCACATATAAAACAACATTATCGTGAAATTAAGCTGAAAATAAGACCATTATTGAGTGTCTTTCATGATTTTTATAAAACCAATGAAAAAGAAGAAGCAAGACAAGAGATAATATCCAGGTGTAAAGATCACACACAAGGAATACGTACAATACATAGTACGTTTCTAACACTTCTCGATAACGATGCCGTAGTGGACTACTTCAAAAACTGCGCCCGTTATGAATCAGAAAATATCAATATATGGGGCTCCAAAGTAAACGAACTAACACAAACAATTATTGGATTGTTCAAAGGATGTGAAGAAGCAAGTGATAGTGTGACACAGTTCGATCCGCCTCGTTTCGAAAAGGAAGTAAAAGAATTGACTCAATTTTATAGTGAAGTCACTAATTTAGAAGAATTCGTGAAAGACAAGAATTCCGGACTAAAAAATATTGTACAAACTATTGCAAACAAAGGGAAATCTGCTATTGAAACTGCACAAATTCTAAAAGAAAAATTTATTTTATTTTAATTGGGACGTAATTTTCTATTCTTCCACAATAAGTGGCTACCAAAATCAAGCTACGTTTTATGAGCCTGATAGTACGTACTGTGGCTCACAGTTTTATAACCGTGAATTAGACCATGATAGAAATGCATTAGTAGCATGGTGTATTCCTAATAACATGAATCCTAATACGATAAAAATTTCTTCAAATAACATTGACCATGCTGAGAAAACTGCAAAGAGGATCTACGACGAAAATCAACACGGATCTCAATGGCTGAATTATGTTTTGGCTTTTAAATATGACGAATGTAAAAGCAGCTCCGTAGATTATAATGGAAAAGGTTCGAATACTGGCAGAATGGCAGACACTCGGAAACTGATGGATACACACTACCAGCATCATACAAGCTGCTATTATGGTTGTTATACTCATTGCATAGGAAGGTTTATTTTTGCATCATGGATGGCTTATAAAAATAAAATGGAAAAACCCAGCTTAACAACAACAGGTATCAGTTTCAAGCAAGGAGGAAAAAAAGTTATAACAAAATATAATACAAGACTATTTGGTCATTACAAACAATATACTGAAAAAGACGATTATAAATGTTTACAAGCATGCAAATCTGAAGAAAAATGCGCCGCCGCTACATTCCATGCGCCATATCTGTACAATTGCTTTTTTTTGGGAAAGGTTTTACAAAATCCGTGGAATCAGGTTGGACTTCATATATTAAACACGAAGGTATGGACCAACAGACCCCTAACGCCCACAATCATGTATCTCCCAGGAGTCCTTCAATTTCCGCGAATTCCTCCGTTTCTTATATTGTTTCGAATTCTCGAGTTCCTTCAGTTGTTAAACTCCTTCAGTCATACGAGTTTTTTAAATTCGCCGTATGTCTGGATTTGTCTGACTTCCACATTTCTTCTCATGTATACTTGATTTCTTTCGATACCTTGAGCGCGAGAGTTTCTTTAATTCCTTAAATTCATGAGCTTCAGTGGCTTATTGAAATCTTGATATTCATTAATTTTCTTCCGCTCCCAGGCAGTTTTCACTTTCTGAACATTCTTCAGTTTCAAATATTTCTTGTATAACGTGGATTCTGTAGGCCTTTTGGATTACATTCCCAATTTGGACTTATTCATGGGTTGGATTCTTTCCATTTGGTGAAACTCTTTCATTCCTCAGATTCTCGGAATTCTCTGATTTTGATGAGAAGCGATTCCTTTACCAGATTCAGCTACACAAGTTTGCCCTAAAGCAAACATCATAATTTCTTCCTTAAATTCAGTTGGTGAAAAAAAGTAGAAATCGGTCATTGTGTAGTAAATTCTCGAAATTTAAGTTTTCCAAGGGCTGTTTTGATTTGAACTAGCTTTGAATCACATGAGAAGAAAGAACGCACTTCAAAGTACTCAAAAACATTTTTATCTTTCTTTCTTGTTTTCAGAGTAGTTCAAAAAAGATTCTAAAGATTGTAAATCGAAATAATTAAGAAAGTTGGTCTGTTTCTACGTGTTGAGTATCTTTTATAGAATTTTGCTTCTTAACTTTCTAGAGAAATCAGTTTTATCAAGTTTTGCAGAGAATTTCATGGCGCATCTTTCGAACAAACAACCAAGTGTAAGGGCTGAAAAGAAAAAAAGTTATAGTCAAAATATTGAGAGGGGCATTATTTATGTGCACCCATTAGATGAAAGAAAGACAATAAAGACAAGATGAAGAGATGAAAAAGAAATATAAATAGAAGACGATACCAGAATAATGAACATGCATGAGTGCGACATCACTATAACACCAATTTCTCACTCTTTCTTTGTAAAAAGAAAGGTGTCATATTGAACCTTTTCTCAGTACCATTTTTAGAACCCTTTCAAAGTTCTAGGGTGTGATAATTCTTTTAATTTCCAGACAAAACCACCCACACCCTACCACCTATTCTACTTTTTTTGGGGCACATTATAATAGTACATAATAATACATGATAGTAGATACCCGCCTATTCTAAGTTGTTCAAGTATATAATTTTCGATATTACAAATTATATTTGTATTTGCACATCTTTGCTTAATTTAGAATGGGTATCGATTTCAAAACACAAAAACGAATCATTATCTAGTTTGAACACTGTTCAAGTTAGTTATCGGTATGATGGAATTCGCTTAGCCAATCATTTTCAATATATTAAAGTTGAGTCGGCTACAAAGTGCTTTGAAGAATGTCAAAAGAATAAGGAATGTGAAGCAATTACATTTCGACCAGTAAATAATGATGGTTGCCATTTGTATCGAAAAGGGGAATACGTTGCTCGTCTTGATTCAGAATGGGTATCCATCTCAAACAATATTATTCACATTTAGTTTGAAGATTATTTTAAAAAAATGGAAGTATTTTGCATGCTTTATAAATGCAATAATAAGAACTACTTTAACGTCTGCAAAAAAACAAATTTTAATGAATTTTATTGTGTTGTAAATGTGTATTTCAATTTAATTGAGGATCTCCAAAGATGAGTAAAGCAGGTTACGACGGATTTAGACCTTGTTGAAGGATCTCTTTGGATAGTTCAGATTTCCAATAATTATACACATGATCGAAAAGGCATTATGAATAAATCATATAATCAAGAAAAGCGGTGCTTCCTAAAAGAGAAATATTCTCAGAAATCATTTTAGACCATTGAAAAAGGACTGGAGGGTGAGGGTGACATGAGGTGTAAATCGAATCGATAACAGATCAACTCAAATCTCTTTACGATACAAATCAATATGTGTGGGTGGGTTTTAAGTAGCAGTTATGACACGCTTCGTCCCTGATAAAGGACTCTTCAGATGTCTTCTTCTATATAACTGGCTGTGGGTGTGGGTGTCAATGTATAGGAAACGAATATTATTACATTCACACTCACACCTTACACCCACACCCTTTGTTCTAAATATGCAAAACATAGCCTAGAAAATCCTTTACGAAATGGCAAAGGGCCGACCTATCAAGCTATTATAATTAAAAAATGCCACACATTTTTCTGCCACCTATGCCGGCGCTTTTTCCTCAATGGGATGGGGTGCGAATATATATAGTAAATCAAGTTGGTGATCATCTTTTACATTGTAGGAATGACTGTTCTTGGTCTGGAACAGCTTTTGTAATTAAAGAGGAACAGAGTTAGACTATGCAGCAAGAGCGCGGATTCAAAATATGTGATCAAAATAAAAAAAAGTCAAAAAAACTGTAATTTTACGAACAATATGTTACATAATATCACTTACTGATATGAGCAAGCATTTTATTCTTACATACTGTATTTATCTAGTGTGAGCCGTTTTTGCTATGTTGCATTGGTGGGTGTGAGTGTGATGGCAAGAAAATCAGCTTTAGCCACACACACCAACACTTCCACACAGACACATCTCACACCCACCCAACCACACCCTCAAGTTGAAACTATTCGACAACAGCTTTAGTCTGCACTGATACATTTCGTATTGGTGAATTAAATCAATTGAAACAAAATGCAACTAAAGCTGTTATATCTTTTATCTTCGAATGGCGACAGAGCAGAGAAAAAGAATCCCCCTTCGCATGGATTCGAACCATACACCTCCTGCTTTCAGGACAGACGTATTAACTACTGTACTAGAAAGCATATCTCCTCTCCGTCTTACGATTGTATGGGAACAATACGATCGTAACAAAAGCATGTATACCATTTAATGGCAGTTGTACAGAACACAAGAAGAATCATTATTCGAAGAAATGCTTGAAATCTCAAATGGAATTCAACCTGATAATATCATTTTCGTTATGGATGCTATTTATTGGTCAAGCTGGCGAATTACAAGTAGAGCTATCAGCCGAACGGTTGAACGCAGGCGCTGGATAAGTAAAAGTACGAGTACAATTTACTTAAGTAAATGTATACTCACGTCAGTACCGATACTAACTACGTTTGTACTTAAGTAGTGGAACTAAGTACAGATGTACTTAAAATGACCATAATTAATACCAATCTACTGAAGATCTATTCTGATTGTTGTACATTAGTGTATTCCCTAGTATTTAGATTTATGATGCCTTTCATGTTCGCACTTTGCTAACATCTACAAAAAACAAATCGATTCTCGATTATAACGATTAAGTTATCACATTTCTAGTATTAGAGATTATTATTTTGCTTACATTATTATTATGAACAGCAATGAATAGGTAAATATACTCGAAAAGCAAAAGCCTCCAATGCACTAACTGGACTGCAACGAATGAAATTGTTCAGTTTATTTAGCTAATTTTGCCTTATGGTGTTATTTACGATTAATCGTATAGTATCGAGAAGAATAAATCTTTACATGATGAATATTTACGCAAGATATACAGGAAAATTGGTTAAGTGGAAATCGTCAAAAATCATTTTTTATGACTTTCAGCAAAGATCATGATAAAAAAACGCTTGTCAGCGCAGCCCCGTTGGCGCTAAAATGTGGAACTCACATATTTCAGTCAATTAGATACTGACCAAATAGAAGATTTATTTTTTCAGTGTAGTGAGATCATATTTTGTTCAAAAATAGGATAATAAAACTTGTTTAACATTTGAAGTTTATTGGATCTATCAATGGGAAATATTACTAGAGAGAACGTATGAAAAACTCTTTGTTTAAAATATGTCAGTATGCTGAAGTGTTTAGTGGTTTCATTGAGAAATATTGTGAATGATAATAGTTTAAACAGTATTTATG